TATATATATATATATATATATATATATACTTTAATCCAATTAAATTCAATTTATGAGTTATTTGTATAGCACTTTTAATGAATGGTAATTTTGACAAAGTTGCTTTACAACCTTCAGGAATTGCCTGCAATAATATGAGCGGCCATAAACAGAAGCAGTAATTCTCCGGTACACACAATAAGTTGTAGTCAGAGGCCCCGAGAGAGTTCAGTCTTAAGCACAAGCATTTAGAGACTAGTTTAGGTGAAAGCAAGATTTCGGTGGAACTGTTCATAATCCATAAGTGTCTGATAAGACATCTGTTGTGCTTCAACATTTCTATTCAATTATATGCAAGTAAACAAGTTCTCTAAAAAAACAACATGAAGTTATCTTAAAGGGGTCATATGATGCTGCTAAAAAGAACAGTATTTTGTGTATTTGGTGTAATGAAATGTGTTTATGCGGTTTAAGGTTAAAAAACACATTATTTTCCACATACTATACATTATTGTTTCTCCTCTATGCCCCGCCTTTCTGAAACGCGTCGATTTTTACAAAGCTCATCGGTCTGAAAAAGCGAGGTGTGCTGTGATTGGCCAGCTATCCTGTGCGCTGTGATTGGCCAAATACCTCAAGCGTGAGATGGAAATGTTACGCCCCTCACCATACTGTGATGATGCCCTGTCCGGCCGGAGCGATGATTCAAAAACATGAAAACCCATTATAAACGAGGCATTCGTTGCATCCAGTGTGGACATAATTATGGATTTGAATGACTTATACTGTCTTTTTACGCGTTGCCTCACGCCGCGTAAACATAAAACCATGTCTGCATTTGTGATTGGAGAAATGAAAACAAGCCCTACTCTACACTGCCCAAAAAACTCGCTTTAAATATATAAAATATAAAAATTCTTTAAATATAAAAAAACGTACTTACAGTCTTTGAATCAGAACTGCCGGCATTGTAGTCTAACATTACTCTCCCAGGATCAGGAAACAGTCCTCCATAAAATGCACTGGACACATCTAAATATTTGGGTTGAACTGTTCTGGAACAGTGTTTCTAGTCGTGTCCATTTTTGGAAGTGTTACCGTTATCAGTGTTTTTTTACGACATGGCGGCGGAAACATCAAAACTACAGCGAGAATAAAAGTTACACCTTCTTTCTTTGCATGAACATTTGGGCGGCGTTATGCAAATCTTCCCACAAACGACGTAGACATGCGGGGGCGTGTTAGAACGAGCTGTTTCAGGTAGGCGTGGCTGACTCTTAACTTTTATAAAGAATATCTCTTTGGATTTGAGACTTTGGTCTTTGCAACTTTACAGATCTTCTTTATGCACCAATAACTTGTAACACTCCAAAGAGAAAGGAAAATTTTTAATCGTATCATATGACCCCTTTAAAATATTACAATTATGTTTTTGTCTTCATCTGCTTTATATGAAATCAGGGGAAACGGGGAAGTCGTGGCCTAATGGTTAGAGAGTCGAACTCGTAACCCAAAGGTTGCAGGTTCGAGTCTCGTACCGGCAGGGATTGTAGGTGGGGGGAGTGAATATACAGCGCTCTCTCCCACCTTCAATACAAAGACTGAGGTGCCCTTGAGCAAGGCACCGAACCCCCAACTGCTCCCCCGGCACCGCAGCATAAATGGTTGCCCACTGCTCCGGGTGTGTGTTCACAGCTGTGTGTGTGCACTTAGGATGGGTTAAATGCAGAGCACTAATTCAAAGTATGGGTCACCAAACTTGGCCACATGTCATGTCACTTCACTATATTTTTGTATAATTTTATTTTGCAGTCTTTCTGTTGAGTGGTCTGTTGTAGCATAAGTTGGTCTATTCAAGTGGTTCCTTGTGGTTGCAGAGAGCATCTCCAGCAAATGTTGAACTCCATGGAATTTAAATCCATGTCTATTTACTTTGAGGTCATCTATGTGCGAATATACTTCCAAATAAGGGGATTTTTTATTTATTTAGTTGTAGTAGTAGCAATTGTACATATTCTCTTAAAGTAAAAATAGTGGCACAAAACAAATCACACTGAATACTACTGATATGTATTGTTCAAAGATGAGATGTCCCATTTTGGTGTTAAATTTACTAAATTAAATTTACAAAAGTGATTGTATATACACAGAAAGCATAATAAATGCGAGTAAAATGTCCACTTCAATGTTTCAAATAACATTTGTGAAAATAAAATGTCAAAATATGGCTGAAATAATATTCCATCGTCATTCAATGCAACAGATATATTTATGTACAAATGAAACAACATACTTATTCTGCATTTATTGAAATATATAAATGAAAAAGTTATCAAAAAATTGTATTATACTAATTGTATTATTTTTTTGCTCAGAAAAAAAAACGATTTAATCAGGACATATTCTAATGTACAAATATGCTTGGAAACAAAA